TTCTAGGAATTGAAACAAGTTTGAAAGCTGCGTTAGCCAGAGGCTTTAAGGAACAGTGATGAAAAAAAAATAGGAATTTACATTAGAAAATTCTCACAGGGAAAATGGTTATAAAGCTACTAGTGTGAACGATTAAACATACATGAAACGATCGTATTTTATTTTGTCCCTTTAATTATAAATGATTTTTTAAACAATTGCATTCCAGAGATGACTTGCCCTGCCCCCTCCCCTTCACGCCCCCTCTCCCAGCACAGTTCACAATCGACTCCCCTCACCCCCCAATGCTTATGCAACCCCAGGAGTCATCTTCTTTTCTGAAAAGTCTGAAGAATAGGCAGTTCGCTTTTCTTAAGGGAAAGTTTAAAGACCACGTCAGCGCGGCGGGGTTTTGGAAGCACTGGTCTTAAACTCTGCCCACGATTTTTAAAAGAAAATTACAAGCTCCCTTGTGTTCTTGGGAATATGCAAATGACGTGGCGCGTCCTCCCTGTTCCGCAGCGCGGAGGCTGAGTCTCCAGCCGCATACCCGTCGGGCTGCCTGGGAACGGGAACCGCGCCGCCCGCCGCGGAGCGCGCGCCCTTTCTCCGCACCCAGGGGCTTCAGGCGCAGGCTCAGGACTGGGCAGTGCAGGCACCCGGCCTGGCCAGCTGTTGCCCGAGTCGCTGTGCCCTGCATCTCTCCTGAGCTTGACGTCTGCAGTCTGTGGTTTTCTTTGCGTACTTCAACTACCGCACACACTCCTGTGGAAGCGCAGGGTTTTCTTTCTTTCGGTGGTCAGCTGTTTTTCTGGTTTCTAAAGATTTGTTAATTTGGAGGTAGCCTGCTGGAGTTGGGACATGTAGAAAATAACACCTGCGTTTAATCCTAGTAGCTGTGTGTTCCATGACCCTGAACCTCCATTTTGACTCCTCTGGAGCGGTCCAGGAGGCAATGCATCTTAGAGGTGTGGGCACGAGGTGCTTCTAGTCAGTGCTGGGGTCAGGATTTGTTTGCAGGCTTGGATCTGGACACGAAAAATGCGAGACAGTGCCTAAAAAACGCCCCTAAAATGCCTTAGAGCTGAGCTGAGGTGGTGTCAATCACCTGCGCCTGGCTAGGCCAGTTTTGGACCCCACCCCCGGAAAGAAAAACAAACAAAAAACAAAAAACCTTAATTTAGCACTTAGGGACTGAAAGGAGCCTAATCTCTAGCGGCTCTTGGGACTACTTTTGGGGTCTCTGCAGTCAGTCTCCTGAGGCAGGTTTCCTTCCCCTATCCCTTTGTGCAGGCCAAATCAGTTTAAACGATTTAGTAGTCAAAGAAGAAATATCCTGGTGAAATCTCGAGGGCGAATGCCAGGGCCTTGAGAAATGGCAAAGAGGGTCCTTCTCCCAGAAGTGATGTATCAGGACCTGGAAAAAGTGGTTCACAGTCCGAGTGAAGAGCCTGTGCCTGTGCGAGGCCTTTGACGTTGTGAACACCTTCGGACCACTCATTGACATTTACTATCCAAATCTTGGGGCCCAAAGGAACTCAGGGAAGGAGGGTCATGCGTGTGGCTTGGGCCCAAGCCAGGCCTTCCAGCTCACCTGTTCCCTACAAGTAACATGCTACTCTGGTGAAAGCTCGGGGCAGGTCAATTCAAAGCGCCCAAAGTGAAAGGAACAGAATTGAACTCTCAAGATGAGCCCGGGGCTTGCAGGTTAGGAAGGGCGCCGCCTACTGGTCCCCGGAGCCACCGGGTTCGCAGTGAGGAGCTGGGCCAAAACTGGCCAGGCCCGCATTCACTGCCCTGCCCTGGCTCTGCACTTCAACTGGGCGACCTCAAGCTGCTTCCAACTTGCCTAGGTCCTGGACTCTATGACCTAGTAAGCCCTGGGAAGTTGGGTAGCAGGCCCTGATTAAATCAGTTTTAACTATACAGATGCATGTCCTAGCTAACTCACTGTTTCAAAAGTCAGACAGCAGGCAATTGAGAGGTGTAGGCACCCAAGTAGCCTGCAGGTCTAGGCTTAAGCAGACTGCATGTGGGGGATTTAGCGAGAGTATGATCGTGGTCCACTCCGTTTCCCGTGTACCCTGTTTCTGCTTCTGTTGGTCCTTCCACGCTCGTGCGCCAGGAACCCCACAAAATCTTGTTTAATTTGTGGTTTGCCATTTCCGGAGGAACATACCAGGCCACTAACCCAGCAACACCGTTTTGGCTCGTGTGTGGACATTACAAAATAAAGGAAGGATTATTTCCCCTTCACTTTGCTTCGAACCCTCTCATTTCAACAGTACCTTTAATGGCGTTGGAGTGGCAAAGCTCGCAGTGCTCACCTCGGCTAGCAAGTAAGGCACAGAAGTGCCATAGGGTGGTTGAGGAGGAGGGTAGGGTGTGTCCTTGGATTGGCTCTGAGCGTTCCTTGCCTCTCGGCGGCCATCGAACTGGACAGAAATCAGACCCGAATGGGACCTTGCCGTCCACTTTCTTCGCTAGCCAAAGCTTTGGCAATGTTCCTAGGCCCAACCTGCACGTCTGCCTCTGTGGCCAGGTTAGACCCTCTCTCCTTTTCGTTTTCCCTACAAATACAAACCTGAGCCACTGACAGTGGGTAGATTGGGCCTAACAAGAGAACGCCCCCGGGGCAGGTCTGAAACTCTGCTCGGCCTGCCCCACGGGGCTGCTCCGGGTCTTCTGCCTCTCTTGGGCTCCAGTCCCCAACCCTGGGTTCCCCAAGGCTGTTCGCCCGGCAGCGCTGGCTTCTGACTCCGGAACGAGTCCCGCGCGCCCAGACGTCACTTTCCCAGTGAAACCTGCTTTTATTTGCTCCGAGCAAACCCCAGGCTCTCAGCGCTCCCGCCTGATGGATGCAAATGTAAATGTGCACTTATTTAATTGGATCAGGCCCCAAGATAAAAGAGATAAACGGCTCCCCGTTTGCTAACTTATTTTCCGAGGCATGCAGCGCCGCGTGGAGGGGAAGCTAATGAAGGAGCTGCGCATTGCTCGGCTCTGCAGCTCTTCGCAGCGGTGGTGCACAGACAGGCCCGCACCGCGAGGCCTGCGCCACCTCATCGCACTCCTTTTCGCATGCCCTCAAAGCCTGGTGGTGTTCCCCCTGGAACCCTCTGTGCGGCCTGGCTGGGAAGATGGGAAGGCCAGGAGGTGTTGTCTCTTTTGCAAATACTGGCTCCTCGTCGTTCCTCACCTCGACTTGTCCCCCTCTGCCTTCTTGCCTAACCCTGGTGTTTGGGTCACAGCAGCTAAGTGCATTAGATAGAAACTCCTTTATTCCCCAGTCATCCCTTCCACCTTAGGTGGATGCGGGTGAGTGGAGAGTGGACCTCCTCTCCTGTCTTCAGTCAGGTGAAGCGGTCCTCAACATGAAAGGACCCCTTTTCTGTCCCTACAGGGCCTTCTTTTGGAGCCTGAATTTGCTTTCAGAATCGCCTGGAATCCCTGGACCCCCCCCCCCAATACTCTATGCATTCAATACACGACACAATAATTTCAAAGTGTCTCGGAGTCCGGACAACTAACTATTCTGAAGGAAAGAATTGCCTGACTCTTCCCTCCTTGAGACAGCAGTTTAGACCTCCAGAGCCAGTGGATCCGCTTGTGCGTCTCAAATTGGGCTTCCGGTTTCTTGGAAAAGTTTCTCTTCTGTTCAGAAAGATGAAGGTTGATGAGAGTGAGTGTAAAGGAGAGGAGAGGGGCTCTCTGGTCAGGGACGCTCTCCCAGTTAGACCCAGCTTCCAGAATCTGGTCTGGACTGGAAATCTGTTCTTCGAGGGGTTGGACTGGGCAGCACCGATGTCGCTAACATGCTGGGTCCCAACGAGCTGATGGATGGGCTTGTCAGGAAAGCTGTGTGCGCGGAGCATTTACCTCGCTAAACTGAAATTACTGTCTTTTCAGGGGCTAATTTGTGTAACTCCCATGGAGGGGCCTGGAGGGGGTTTGATGAGGCATAAAATGATGATTAATGAATTTATTGGCCGCTGTTCATCAAACAAGGGCTCAAGAGCTTCCATATACATCCGGAGCCTGGCTGCGGCGCTCAACCCAGCTGGGATTCAGCCTCCGGGTTCCAGCGCCTACAAGGGTTTTCCCACGTGTCCGGCTTTGGATACATTTCTTTGCTTTCGTCCAGGATGCTTCCTGTGGGCGGTCCTGGACCCCAGATTCAGAAGTGAGAATGGAATCCGGAGGTTCTGGAAGAGGAGAGCGGGTTCTAGCTGCCCTCCATCGCCCCCTGCGGGCAAGAGGCTCAAGCCTGGGACAGGGCTGGGCCTGGTGCAGTAGGACACAGGTAGGCAGAAGCCTCGGGACTCCATAGTGACTGTGGAGCCTGAGATAACATTGAGCCGTGAGCATGAGCTGTGTTCCGGATATAGCATAGCTACCGGGTGGCTGCTTCGACAAGGATGGCTCAGAGCTGTCTTCTTAAGTGCTCCTGGGCAGTTTCAATAACCAGTCTGAATCCGATGTTTTCAGCTGTGAAAAGGGATTGAAACACCCCCCGGGGAGGAGTACAGTGCGTAGCACACGGTGCCCTTCAGTATAGCTATTAAGGTATGCTCTCTTAGACTTAGGTTCCCTGCAGAATCTAGCTCAGGCCTGGGATGAGGGCAGAGGAGGGAGAGAGGCAGGATCCTGCCAGCATGGCTGCTCCTCTTTGGCACTCCTCTCTATTACCCTTAGCCAATAGCACCCACCGGCAGGCTCTTGAAAGGAAAATTTGGAGGAGCCTAGAAAGGCAGTCAGACTCACCAGTGATCGGTTGGTCTGACCAGAGAAAACCAACAGAAACTGCCCATGTCTCCTTCGTCACTGCCTCCCTCTGGCCACCCCCAGGCTGTTTTGGGAACTCCCTGCATCCTTGACCAGGCAGTACTTCATCTATAGGCACCTGCATTTTGGAATATAGCTACAAGAACCTTTGGGCTACTCCCTTTGGTCTCAAACAAGAATCTGCAGCCTCTAAGGCTTCTAAGTTTATCTCAGATTCTTTTCTCAGAATTCAATGCCTTCACCACCTTCTTTGTGCCCATTCATACTGTCTGCCCCAGACTCCCAAACAACTCCACCCTTGCTTCCAAAACATCCACCATCTTGGAAGAGAAGACCTTGGCATTGAGCCCTCCAGGGTGTTCTTATTGTGCTTCAACTCTTATGTCCTTCCTGTGTCTACTACTAACTGAGTATCTTTTGGGCTAAAGATGCAGTATGAGCAAAACAAAGCTCTACCCTCCTTTCACTTTTACTCCAGAGGGCCAGACATTAGCTCAACTAGTGAGCCTCAACGACTTCACACAGTATCTGTGTGATGAGAGCTACAGGGCAACTGAAGAGGGTACAGAACAGTTTTGTTTTTGTTTTTTTTTTTTCTTTTGTGAGGGAGCCCAGTAAGCGCCTTTGGAGGTGGTAATGTGACAAGAAACCTGAAGGATGATGGGAAGCCTGCCAAGCAGAAACTTGGGGAAAGAAGAGTTCTAAGCACAAAGAATAGAAAATATAAACCTTCTGAGCAGGGAGCAGGTTTGCAGAGACCTTTGAATGAGAAGGCCACCACGCAAGCCAAGAGCAATTTATATGGACCCTTATAGGTCCTAGGAGATCTTGGGTATTGGTGATAAAAGACAGATGGTGTGATGGGGTCTGAGTATCTAACTCATATTTATAAGCATCCTGGAATGTGATCTGAGCTGAGCTGGGAGGATGGTTAGAAACAGGAACAAGTTAGGAGGAAAATAGAGAATCCTGAGGGAAGAACACACCTAGGACCAGTGTGGTAGTTAGAGTCAGGAAGAAAGCATAGTCTCCTCCCCCAGGAAGTGAAGAAATTTTTTTCAGATAGAAGAAAGCCAGATATTCTTTGGCATGACACCCAAGCTGTTGGAGAAAAGGGCTTTCTTGGATGTGTCAAGAAGCCCATGACAAAAATATTCAAACACCCAGGGTAAGATGCCTATGTCCATGGATGATTCCAAAGTGGACACTTCCTCCCCCAAAGCCACAGATGTTAGCATGTTGTGATCAGAGCTTTCCTTTTGTCCATGCCCTTCCTCCAGTTCCTAGAATCTGAGGTTTGGGAAAAGAGAATGACTCGTCCCCCTAAGCTCACGAAGTGAGGTCATAGGCAGAGGCAAATCCCGAAACCAGGTCTTCTAACTCCTGGCTTGAGTTCTGCCCTGCCTCACCCAAGCTAAGTTCTTCAGGATATCTGTATTTTAACAGAGAACTCTCAGAAACAAAATGCCTTAACAGAGAGGAATGAATTTATAATGGTGGAATCTCAGACATTGTGACAGGCTGTCAAGGGAGATATTTTTAGGCTGGGCCTGGAAACATCTTAGCCTTCCTCAAGCACTGCTGGTGGAGGGCTGCTTCCTCAACACTTCGTGTGTGAAGTACAGATGAGGGAAAAGCTGCCATCTCTCCCAGAGACTCAAAAACAAGGAGGGACCCGTGGCTGTTTCCCTGCCAAATCGTTGTCTGCCCTGGGTAATTGCTATCTGATAGGATGTGCTCATTTCTCCGGTCTAAAGTACCTTCTCTCTGCCTACAATTTTCTCACATAGCAGAAGCAAAAATTAATATTCCTTTGCTCACCATCGTGCAGAGTGAATCCCACCAGACAAAGGTTTGGGCTTGGGGCAAGCTGTGAACCACTAGTCTTTTGGGCATTTGTTTTGCATTTCTTATTTTGACATCTCAGCTTGACTGCCTTTTCTCACTGCCTTTCCTGATTTCTGTGTTGTATATATAGATGGTCGCCAGCTTGGGGATTTGTTTTATTCTGTAAATTATCAGGTCTTTTCCCCAAGGGAACCCACAGGCCCTTAGGAACAATGTCTCAACCTCTTTCAAGTAGATTCAGGCATCTATTGGCCCTAGATTCTTAATGCCTTCATGGTTCCAAAATGTTCCAAACATCTTCCCAGCTAACAGGGTTGGACATTAGACTCATCGCCTAGTTGTTCCTAAGACTTTTCTTTTTAGATCCAAACCACAAGCGTTCTTGTTGTTTGTTTTGTTTGTCCTGTATTTGCATTGGGTATTTAAATCCAGACCCTGTGGTGGTGGGAGGCGCTTTCTAAATACTCATGTGTACAGCCGCAGACGCTGGCAGCTGAGGACCAATTTGTGGATCCCATGAGTTGACTCATGGCTGCTTGGGGAAAAGGGCTTGTTTGAATAACTACTACTTCTTTGCTGTCATGAAGAGTGTGGCAGACAATTCATCGGTTTGCTTTACTTTGGTTAATGGAGTTATTTTTTCCTCTATATATTCTTTCTTCTTTTCTTTCAAAGAATTTTACTTGACGGTTTGCAGAGATATAATCCACCAGGGAAAGGAAGGCATGACACCGGGAGTGGCACTGGGCTGTGACAGTGGGGCCTTGTGGGCTGCTGGCTCACATCAGCAAAGATCAGGAAGCAGAGAGAGATGGATGCTGATGTTCAGATCACTCTCTCCCTTCTCCCTTTTATTTGATCCTTCTAATTTTTTTTTTTGTCAAAGGTATAGATAGGAAGGAAGGACATCTGAGAAAGTCATGGTCCACTCTCTGTTGGGACTGGTGTTTATATACTCAATTGCTTCAAATTTTATACCATGTAATAATTTTGAGGGAAATGTTTTTATGGCTACTGTGGTAAGTGCAGATGACAATGATGAAAAGGGAATCCAGATGAACTTGGTCCCTCCCTGTATTTTAAGGAAGCCAGTGTCTTTCAGGGTCTCTGACAGTTCCTATTTCTTCTGCTTTGAATGTTGTCCTCAAAGTTATGTAGCTATCTTTTGGGAATACATGAAATCATCTTATGATATATGGGCTTGTTGTTGTTATTGATGTTTGACTTGTGTGTTTCTCTCTCTCTCTCTCTCTCTCTCTCTCTCTCTGTGTGTGTGTGTATGTGTGTGTGTGTGTGTTCTCTTCTCTTTCAGCTTGAGACAGGGCTGTCTCTAATGTTCAAGCTGACCTAGAACTCCTGGGTTCAAGATCCTGCCACTGCCTCCTGAGGAGCTGGGACTTCAGGCCTGCTGCTGCACCAACCCACTAGGCATATTGTCACCACACTTTGGAAAAGAGTACCAACTTCTTTTACAGGTGTAGAAACCAAGAACTTGAGAGATGAAGATTCTTACTAACATCTCACAGCCAGTGGCTGGCAGAGCCTCATGACCTGGTGCCTCTGTCCCATGCCAGCTTTCTGAGAACTCCTTTCTTTCTTTCTTTCTTTGTTTCTTTCTTTCATTCTTTCTTTCTACCCTTCCTTCCTTCCTTCTTCCTTCCATCTTCCCTCCCTCCTTCTCTTCCTTGCTTTTTTATTTTTTCTTTCTTTCTTTTTTAATAGTTTTTTTTAGTTTCTTTTTAATGTGTATGAATGTTTTGTTGTCATCCCTCTCTGTGCACCACTCACATTCCTGTTGCCCATGGAAGACAGAAAAGGGCTTTGGATCCCCTGGAATCAGAGTCATAGACTGTGCACCACCATTTGAGTTCAGGGAATTGTGCCTGGGTTCTCTGGAAGAGCAGTCAGTGGTGCCATCTCTCCAGCCTTGGGGGTATTCCCAACCTCAACCCAGAATAAGCTTCTTGGAAAGCCAGGACTAGACAGAAGAACTTATGACCTGCTTATGGAGAGCTTGTGTCCCTCTTTCTCTTTTGGTCTATGATGTCACTCTGTTCTGCTATCTGGAATATGTAAAGGTGAAAGACCTTGGTCTGTTTTGTCTTTTACAGCAGAGGGTAGAGGGGGAGGATAGGATCTAGATCTTCACCTCTGAGGAAAATGTGTGGAAATAGTGGAATTGTGATTCAGGGGACCCCAGGATGGATCCAAATGGATGGCTGCCGTCTCCTTTCAAGAGGGTCTGCCTGCAAGCATCCCCATGCTCCCTATATCTAACCACTCACAAGTGAGGCAAACACTGCAGTGACAAAGAGACCTTGATTGGTGTGGTGGTTTGAATAAAAATTACCCCATAGGTCCATAGAGAGTGGCACTTTTAGGAGGTGTGACCTTGTTGGAGGAAGTGTGTCACTGAAGGTGGACTTTGAGGTCTCAGATGCTCAAGCCTGGCCCAGTGTGGTATTTTCTTCCTACTGCCTGAAGATTCAGATGTAGAATTCTCGGCTGCCTCTCCATGTCTGCCTGCATGCCACTGTGCTTCCTGCCATGATAGTAATGAACTAAAACCCTGAACTGTAAGCCAGCTGTGGTCATGTTGTCTTTTCATAGCAATAAAACCCTAACTCTGACAATAGTATTCCCAAGTGAAGGACATTGGGTACCAAACTGTAATGCCACTTAAGGCAATGCCTTTACTCCTGCTCTCTTCTTTTCTCCCTGCATGGGTGACCAGGTACACTGCACGCTACTCAGCCTGTAAGTAAGTCATGTCTTCCAATGGTGTTACTGCCACACCTGACTAAGCTTGCAGAACCCTCTTGCTCTAAGCCTTGCACCCAACTCCTTAACATAATCTTCAACCCAAATAACCACATGCAACTCCAAAATGTTTCCAACAGAAGCTTGGAACCCTCTGTAACTTCAGATCAGCACCTTCTCTCAGCCTCACTCAGCTTCCAGTAAAAACACAGGAATCTTCTTTTCCCCATACCTCCTTCAAATTCACTCTCAAGTCCTTGGTATCCTTTTAAGTGACCTCTGTCAATGCTCTCCTTGCTATGCTCTAGTCTGAGCCTTCATGTCTGGCAAGGACTAAACCATGTCCTTCCCATGTTTTCCTTGCCCAGTGGCCGTTGTAGTAGCACCGGTGCGAGCCCATAGCTTGCTGCCCTGGGTACTCAGCACAGATTGATGGAAATGATGACAAATCTGCAGATCTCAGGCCAGTGTATTCTCTGTACTTTCACAAAGAATGTGCTCCTGAACTCAGAATGAACTCAGACATCAGACTGATGTGTGTTCAAGTCCTGGCAACTGCCCTCTGTTGTTTGAAGCACACTAGTGAATCCAGGCAAAATGGCCAAAAGTATAGACAGAGAGGTCCCAAACCAGGACCTGTGGGATGGGAAGGCCACTAAGCGTTTTGCCTGTCTGGTCTCCTTCTCCATGTGGGCCAGTCACCAGCTATGGGACTTTGGGTGAGTTCCTCTGGGTAAGTTCTTCTGCCCCTCTGAACGTCAGTATCTTCATCAGTAAGATTGCAGTGTGTGTGTGTGTGTGTGTGTGTGTGTGTGTGTGTGTGTGTGTGTGTACGCGCTCGTGCAGGCCTCTGGTGGTAAATGAGACAAGGCATATAAGCCTTGTAACAAATATTGGCTGGGATCATGCCTACCCAACGAGGATGGCTTTATAAGGAAAAAAAACAAAAAACAACAAAAAAAATTCCTCAGACTGTGTAGCCTGTCTTCTTGTTCTTTGCCACCTCACATCTTTTTGCTGACCTACCATGTTTAAGATGTCTTGAGTTTAAAGCAAAATGAGAAATGTATTTTAAGAAATACTCCTTACAACATTATTTCATTACTTAAACTGCCTGCTGACTCATCTGTCCCTTGGTAACTGAGTCTTTCTTTACCAATAACTTTAATTACATCAATCACTCATGTCCCAAACAGCTGAATAATGAAAACTCCCAGAGGTGACACCATGAACTTCTGTCACACAAGCAGGGGCTTGTGGCTGCAGAGCTGCTTGTTCTTTCTCTTTCGAAAATAGCACTCAGAACTTCAAACAGGAGGCATATGTTTAGTTTTTACAATTTACTACCTGTCTGTCTAGCTCCTTATCTGTCTGTCACTAGCAATCTTCAGAGTAGGAGGAAATGACTATACATAACTTCTTGAATTTAGTCAAATCTTTTCATCTTCTGACATTTCTAAGTCATGAGTCGCAAGTCTGCCCTGAGGGTTAAATACAGAGTACACAGGAGTTCCAACACCCATTCTTTTATTGAAAGCTGCTAATTGCACTGTTCAAGAGTAAAGATGTTACCTAAACAATTATCTTGTTAGCAGTAATAATAGCTACTTTATTAAGCACTTCATACATGCCAATTATTACAGCAAAAGATGTCAGAGGGACCTCAGGAAACCCTGCTGCACTTATTGTCCCCATTTTACAGATAAAGAAACGAAGGCTCAGCTAGAGGATTTATCTGAAAACAGACCAAGGTAGCAAAGAGTCTGACAATGCCTCATTGTCATTCTCTGCACAGGGACAGCTCCAGGAAAGAGTGGCAGACCACTTTAAGAATGATCTAACTGTTTTTCTGGCTCTCAGACTGGAAGAGAGTAGAAGGAGGAACTTTTTAAGCTTGCACTTCATCTGATTCTGAGACCAAGCAGTGATCATCTTCAGTTCGGTGAGAGGAGAGCCATGTGGAGTGATTGAAATCTTACAGAGTCCCACCTTAAAGTGCATTCTGTCTCCTCCAAGCTCTGGTCCTCTCAGCACAGACTGGCTCATTAGCCTCTTATTCATTCTCTGTCTCCAGGCCAGCAGAGGAGCTATAGAAGGATGCAGAGCACCAGAGAAACAAAACCCAAGCTTAGAAAAGCCGCAGAATTTCTGTCTGTGATTTGAAGCCCTTTATTGACCCCAGGCTCCAATATAGGCCCAAGTCTCAGGGCTTCTCCTGGTACATTGTGTTGGAGTCACATTGCTTGAACACTAATTTTCCCCTGGTTTGTTTCCTCTGCCTCAAGCTGCGGGCCCAAATAAACATGTCCTTGGTTGTTTTTTTGTCATGTCTTTTGTCACAGTCACGGGAAAAGTAACTAGAGCAACCTTGGGTACTCTGACTCTCAGTTTTTCTACCCAAAGAATGAGACACAGTCATAGTGTTAAGAATATTTCTTTTTCCAAGACAGGGTCTTGATGTTGAAGCCCAGGCTGACCTTGAACTCATAAGCCTCCTGTTTCAGCCTCCTGAAGTGTAGGTGTACTTCACCACACCTGGCTTCAGGAGGGCACCTTAAAGTCAATGTGCTGTTCACTACCTCATAGGACTGCTATGAGGATTCAAGGTGATTGTCACAGGTGGTTTCCTAGGTCTCTTAAGGAACAAACAGACGTAGAGGGTCCAGACTTCCCCTAAGAGAACTTACAATGAGACCCGACTTGGCCCACCAGGGCTGTTAGTCCCTCACCAGCTGTCTCCTTCCTCCCTCTTTTCTGAGGGACACCTCTTTTGGTTTGGGGTGACAATTTATCCAGCCCCAGAGAATAAATTACTTATATCCGAACCAGTTATGACAATTTGATGCCCCTTTGCAAGAGGCTCACTTTCCAAGCTTCCCTGTAGCTCATGGGCTGGGGGACCCATTCTGGCCAGGTGTGTGTGAAGGTAAGCCTTTTGCATTTCGGAACCTCAGGCTACTAAAATGAGGAGGGACCATAGAGCAGCAGTGCTAAACCCAAAGGGAAGTTCCTCTTTTTCTGTTTCAAAGATGTTTTCAGTTCATATGTGAGTATAACTTCCCTGCCTAAAACATCTAATGGCTCTCAATAGCCCCCAGAGATGATTTCCTGATAGGCATTTAATGAGTGAAGTACCATTGATCCTACTGAAAGGAGAAGGAGAAAGTGCAGACTGCCACTCTGGCTTTTACAGGCAGCCCCTAAAAACATCTACAGAACAGTACACAGAAAACCACCAGGTGAGAGCCGTGGATACAGCACATTTTGTTAGTTTTGGTTTTCTTTTTAAATAAACACCCAGATTTCATCTTAGCCCCTGATTTTCTCCCTGGACACACCTCTCTCCTCCCCTGTATCCTTAACTTGGGATGCTGTTAATTCACTCCTGGGTCCCAGGTGAAACGAGTGACTGAGGCATAGCCAGCACTCCATCCTTTGAATACAGAGACTGGCCTGGGGACATCCAGGCCTACAATACTGTTATTAAAATTGATGAGAAGTAGACACTTCCACTTCTTCAACCCTAATGCACCCTACTGAGCTTGAATCCCAGGACTGTGACAATTGAGAATGAAGGTCCAGTGGAAGAGAACAGAGATGAAACATGGAAGGGGACCAGATCTTAGTGGCTTTGACCCCTTGCATTAAGCTTTGCCCGAAGACTGCTGGGGCTACCATTGGACTTTTGGTAGAGAGAGTGAGTATTTCTGTTTATTTAAGTAGCCTAAGTTTCACTTTTTATTACTTCTAACCTGAAGAGTCCTAGCGATAACAGATCTCCTCCAGACCTAGGATCGCCGGAGATATCCAGTCATTCTGGTTGTCCTCCCAGGTGGCTTCGCTCTCCAACACAATGTACATAGAATTGAAAAGTGTTGCTGCCAGTGAGATACTAAAACACAGTATAGTTTACCCTCCACTCCATTCCTGATGATAATAGCCCCAGACAGAGGATGTGGGATCTCGACCTTGTTAATCTTTAATGGATGCATACCATGAGAGAGAAGCAAACACTTGTTTGAAGCCATTGAGACACTGGGTCATTTGTTACAGCATCAAACCTTATCTTGTGCTTTGAGTTTTCAAAGTTTTCATTTCCACCCTCCCTCTGCCTGCCATTTCTGTTTTCTATCTTGTTTTTCCTTATCCTCCTTTCCCTCCCCATCCCTTTTCTTCTCCCCTCCGCTCTCCTGTTTCATTGCTCTGCCCATTATAACCATTTCTTGACTTCTTTCCGTCAACAGACCATTAAAAGGATTCTCTGATTGCTCACCCCCTGCCTTCCCAGCAATATCCAAGCAGACATTGGCAGGAGATATCCAGCCTGCCCCGGCAAAGTCGTACCCCTGGCATCTTCACCAGTGTCAATCAATTACAGCTGTCAATCATTCATTCTTGCCAGCACCAGTCCCAGCAGGCTAACTTCCAATCATATTACTAGACACATAGTGTTCCAAGTTCTGGAATAAAACCCTCTTCAGAAATTCCTATTCATTATCTCCTAAAAATCCACAGGATTCTAAAGTTTGTAGTGTGGTATTAACAGCACATTGTTCTACTAAGACAAAACACTAGCAATGGCAAGTGCCTCATCCTTAGCTGTTAATGAGCCAGTTCTGGAGCTGATGAGCTCCTGAAGCCATTGGCCCACAATGCTCCCGTACCCCTTGCTGTATCTAGCAAGGTGCTGACCCACAGCTTTGGAAAAGACTAAGTTCTTCTGAAAACACAAAAATAAAACTAAATTGTTGCTGAAGCTCGGATGTGCTTCATGAGCACTCTGCAGGACATTTGTAAGATGTGGGGGGTCTCAAAGCATGTCCTCTGTGGGAGGAGTGGGGACTGCAGGGACCATTACTGACACATACCTTCTACATTCAGCACTGCATAGGAATGTGGACATAATGTTGCCAGCCCCACAACCCCTGTCTCCAAGGGAAACTTGGAATCTGTATACATTTCCAATTATATCATGTTTTCCCTAAATCACCATGAGGTTCCAGCTCAGTTGTTATGGTTTGGATATGACGTGCCTTTCCCTTCCCCCAAACGGCTCTCATATCAAGGGTCTGGACCTGGCTAGTAGTGCTATTTGGAGAGGTAATGGAAACTCTTGGAGAACCTGACTGAAAAGGGGTCACTGTAAGCAGTTCCTTGGGCCTTCTTCCCCCTTTCCTGATGTAGTCTCTGCTTCCTGGACATGGAGGTGGAGAATCTCACGTTACACACTTCTCAGTAACACACTCCCACTGCCATGATGTTCTGCCTAAGCACATGGAACCAAGTAACCATGAGCCAAACCCCCTGAAATGTCAAGCCCAAATGGACATTTCCTCACCTGAGTTGCTTCTGGCAGGTATTTCACCCTGGTGATAAGAAAGGTAATGGATCGGTACAGTCACAGCTACAGGGAGACATTTAACAGTGTATAATACACAGATGGCCTCATCCCCTTCCATCCTGCACCAACCATGTCCGTTCCACAGACTGGGAGAACCAAGCTCAGAAAGATGAAGTAAGTGTCTCACCTAAAGCTACATTTTGAAACTTAACTACCAGTCAGCAGCTATCTCCTCATAGCTTCAATAGGTGACACATAGGCTAACTGTGTGTGAAGGAATCACACATCCATTTCTTTGGTATAGGCTGGCAGTGGGAATGATCTCAATCAAGGGCTACCTTCTGTCCCCATTGCCCCTTCCTTAGGATTCCCATTCCCTGTGACTGGGTGGTGAGAAGGGATGTGGCCTGCAGTTATACCTCCGTGGTGGAGCTCTTGCCTGAGTTCTGAGTTCAATCTCTAGCACCGAAGGAGGAGAGAGAGAGAGTTGGAGGGGGAGAAGGGAATTATAAGGGATGGAGGGAGGGAGGGAGGGAGGGAGAGAGATTGATTGATTGATTGATTGATTGATTGGTTGATTATAGGAAGTGATGGTGTTCTATCCTGCTACCAGCAATCTCCTCCCACACTTTGCTATTACCAAGTCCTGCCATCTTGGAAACCACACATGGAAAAATCAAAGGACCACAGCCGACTCCCTCAATCTTCACTTGGAGCTCCATTTCTGGCTTGACATCAAAGACAGACAAATTTCCATTGTGGTTGAGCTGTTATATATGTTCCTCTTTGGTCCTTACAGCAACTAGCAGCATCTTAACCAATCCAAACACGACCGTGTTACAGAAAACAACATTCCTTTCCCATCAGCAGGAGGAGATTGTAATGAGTGTCATTCACTGGGATCCAGAGAATTCACTGGATTCCAGAATGACAGAGAACATGACTCTGATTGGTTTAGTTTCCAGTAATGGGGTGAAGTGACCTTGCATGTCACCACGTTTGCAACCCACCCCACACTTGGCTTTCAAGGAGGCCCTGTTCACTCTTCAGCTGAGGTGAGTACCATCATTCAGCCCCTGGAGAGAGCCAACAGACAGAGCAAGTGCCTGGCCTGTGGAGGCCACACACCCTCTACCAAGATAGGAGTCAACACGTTTGGGAACATCAAAGACAGTTCAATATCTTTAGCATAAGGAGATTAACATTTACAAAGGTTTGCCCTTCAGCCTGTTCCTGGGAATTGGCAGATATAGCCAGAAGGGACAATTAACATCACCCATCTGCCCTGGGGTCTTCTGGCATTTTCTATTAGATTTACTTTTCTCTTTTTTGAGATGGCCTCATAGTCCAGGATGGCCTGGAAATGGTGGTCCTCCTGCCTCAGCTTTCTGAGTACTGGAATTATAGGCATGCACCCCGCCCATACTCAGGCCTCCCATTAGATTTTCTTATTGATTTGGGGTGCAGGAGAGAAGCAATGATGGCCTTAGTTTTGAGTAAGAACCCCGTAAGAACAGGGAGATACTGCAGTGTACTGGGCATGGCAGCATGGATAGAAGTCCAGGGAGAGGAGCCTGTCCTTCTCCGGGCAAGGCACTGGTACTCAGAGCAGGGAAGGAGGAAGAGGGGGTACCTAACTTCCTACACCATGGTCAGTACCCTCCTACACTGGCCCAGAAGCACAGAAGCACAGAGGAGGATGAAGCACGGGCTTGTCTGCAGCAAGAGGCCAAGAGTTCCCACCACATGCCAAGTACCAGCCGTATAGGCAGTGGATAGGGACCAAAATCCCTCCCAGCTGTTGGAAACCATAGCCTATTCAGAGATAATTGGCAATTAGTTAAACAACTCCTGTTCAGAACATGCCTTCTCCCTACCCTCCAAGACAGCTGTGTTTAAAAAGAGGTGGGGCTCCTCCTGAATCTGAAACCCAATCTTCCAGTCCATAAAACACCATAGAACTTGGGGAGCCAATGAGTTAAGGGACAGAAAACTGTCCAGATAGTAGAATCTCTTTCTAAGAGTCTCTCTTGAGTGTCACACAGGGTGAAGACTACAGCCTCTGGGGGTCGACAAACCCAGGTGTGAGCACCTGCTTTGCCACTTCCAGCTGAGGGAACTGGAGCTATGTGGCTTTGACTTTCTGAATTGCAGTGTGGATGGTGAAAATACTGTGAAGGTTTGGTGAGATCAAGTACAGGGCTGATCACAATGCCCCAGAGTGTTGACTCATTGGAGTTCAGGCTTATTTAAGCTGAGGTCCCCTATCCTGGCTCTCATGGCCCTCTGCAATTGATCTCCAACCTATTACTTCAGATTGGTCCTCCTTCCACATTCCCTGTGGTCTAACAGTCAAGAAAATCTGATATCCTGGGCCTCAGTTCTCTAATCTGTAAAATGAATCCCATGAATTATTCTCCCTTACATGCCAGCCAGTCGCCGGCCAATAGTTCTAGGCTACACCTTGGAAGATCCTCTTTCTGTACTTTTGGTCCACAGTCCCCTCAGCTAGGACATCCATCTTTCTTCTCACCTCCACCTGTAGATCTTAGTGGGCCCTCAAAGTTAGACCACAATGCCACCAGGAAAACCTGCTGGGAACAGTTTCCTGCTGTAAAACAGCTCCAGAGTCATACAAGTGCCCGCTTTGTTCAAATGGAACCATGCTTTTTAAAGGTAGAAAGTGTCCTGTGTTGGGTTGTGGAGGGAGAGAGAGAAAAGGAGAGAGGGAGACAGTGGGCATGAAGATTGATTCTAGCCTCTTTTACAGTTGGCAGATCTAACCCACTTGTGGAACACTTACCTGAGATGGGTAACTGCTGCCCCCTGCAGGCAGGGCAGCCATTAGCGGTGTCCCAAAGCCTATGTTTCTCTAATTGAGGGCTCAATCGAAGCAGGTGGCTGAGCCCCAACTCCCCATTCTCCTCCTGTCCTCATCCCCACCTCATCTTCTTCCTTATCTTGTTTTATTGTTGGGGGTGGTTGTTGCGTGTTATGTTAGAGTCATGTTAAGCTGCTTTATGTTAGACTTATCAACTATCAATATTCAACATGTATCAATGCCCATCTTCATCTTCCCTGCTAGACTGAGGTCATTGAGGATTGAACTCCTATTGATATGTAAAGCCCAAAGGGGTTGGTTCAAAATCTGGGGAGGAATGGGGTCTTTCATGCATGCACATGGTCCTCTCAAGAGCAGTGAGTGGTGCATCTGTTTAGCAGCTAATGTGTGCTAGGCAGGGTAGCAAGTGCTCTCTGGATCAATTTAATGATTAATTAAACTAAAATGAGTGAACATATGAGTAAGCAGGCATGAGTGATTCACTGTGCTTGGTCTCAGCTCAAGTCTAGTGACGTTTTCTTTCTAGGAAGTAGGGAAACACAGTGTCAGTTCCGAGTCCTGGTTACCTTGAGGGTCAACACAAGCACTCGGCATTGGTCTTAGCAAAGTTCACACAGTGAACTCCGAGAAATGTATTAAAGCTGTCAGTTACCCAGAGATCTGCCCTACCTCTTGTTGGAAACCTGGATCTTACAAGCAGCGGTCATTATGGCAGCAACCTGAGCTGGCTTCTGGGTTTCCCCTAAACATCTATGGGAGCATCTGCCTGCTCTGGTAAGGCTCATTCCATGGGCAGCAAGGAGAATTTATTTGTTTCCTAGTTTGCTTTCTATTGCTGTGATAAATACCATGACCAAAAGCAACTTGGGGAAGAAAGGGTCCGTTTCATCTTACAGCTTGTAGTCTATTGAGAGAAACCAATGCAGGAACTAGAGGCAGGAACCTGGAGGCAGGAACTGAAGCAGAGACCATGGAGGGATGAGCACTGCTTACTGGCTTGCTTCCTGTGGTGGTTTGGATGAGACCCCCAAAGGCTCAGGTATTTAAATATTTGCTTCCCAGTTGGTGGAACTGTTTGTGGAACATTAGGAGGTATGGGCTTGTTGGAGGAGATGTGTCACTTGGAGTAGTCGTCGAGATTCCTGCTGCCATGCCTTTGCTCTGAAATCATGGATTCTAAATTAAACACATTCTTTTAGAAGTTGCCTTGATCATGGTCTCTTATCACAACAATAGAAAGTAACCAAGACATTCCCTAATGTCTTCATCTTGCTTTCTTCTACAAATCAGGATCACATTTTCAGGGGTGGCACTGCCCAAAGTAGTCTTGGTCCGTCCACATCAATTATCAACCAAGGAAATGCTCTGCAAACTTGCCTAAAGGTCAGTATTTTCCCAGTTGAGGTTCCCTCTTTCCAGATACCTCTAGTTTGTGTCTAATTTACAACAAAGCTAATCAGCACAATTTATCTATCTGATTTATCTGTCTGCCTGTCTATTTATTTATTGTATGCACAGAAACCAGAGGTTGATTCCAGGTGTCTTCATATGTCACAATCCAACCCAAAATTTAAAATATTTATTTATTTATTTATTTATTTTTGTGTGTTTGTGTGTGTGTGTGTGTGTGTGTGTGTGTGTGTAAGGGAAACTGGTGCAGCATGTGTGTGTGTGTGTGTGTGTGTGTAAGGACAACTTGCAGGAGTCAGTTCTCTACATCCACCAGGGGGTTCCAAGGATCAAACACAAGTCATCAGGTTTTGTTGCAAGCACCTTTACTGCCTAGCCATCTTGCTTGCCCTCTTCACACTTTTTTCTGTGAGACAAGAAATCTCTCAATGAATGTGGAGCTCAAGGATTGGCTAACGTGGCTTCCAGTGAGCCTTTCTCCATCCTACCAGCACTGGGATTACAGGTGCTCATCTCCATGCTGGCTTTTTACATGGGTTCTGGGAAGCTGACCTCAGGTTGCCTTGTGTGTGCAGCAAGCTCTTTATCCACCTTGCCTCTCCCCAGTCATAAGTAGGACTTTGAAAACAGTAGCATGAATAGTTTGCACCAGTTAGTTGCATGTACATCTAGAGTCTCAAAGTACTTCCTTAGACAATATCTACTTTTCTTTATATGGTGGTGTTGAGGATTGAACCTAGAACTCGTGAATACTGGCAAGTGTTTCATTGTTGAGTCTCATAGTCTACCCTAGGTCTCACTATCTACTTCCATCTTGAGAATTTCTCCCTTTCTCCCTTGTCCTCTCCTGTCTCCATCATGAAGTATATAAAGTGTGCATCTCCTCAAGCCCATTTCACAGAGGAGGAAACTGAGGTCACAATGGAAGAAAGGATTGGCTCCGGGACACACTGCAAGGCAGAGGTAATACTTGGAACAACTGGCCTAGATTTTATTTCAATGCTTTTTGCAGGGCAAACCAACCAACCACCACCAGTCTGATGTTCCTAGAGAGGAGGTGCCAATGGGTGTGGACATAGTGACAGGGACAGTACTGGGGAGAGGCCTGACTAGATAGGAGTGGGGAAGATCCCTAGCAGGATGGGAGAGATTGACAGCAGACAAGGATGCAAAGGCCTGGGGACAGATTTTCAGAACACCAGAGACCAGAAGGAACACAGCCTTTGCACCTGAAAAGCCTGGGCCCAGCTCCCTCACCTCCAGCTACTCCACCTGTTACAACTGACTTCATTTCTCTGACCTCAGTGGGCTCCTCTGCAGGTAGGGATTGAGATGTCTGACCCAGTAAGATTGTCATGAATATGACAGACTAGCCACATTGGGGGACACAAATCATCAGCCTCTTTGATACATTCAAAGGAAGGGAACAGCTTGTCTTGTCACATGGTGAACAAGGGACAGAGACTGTCTTGTAGGCCTCAGTGTTTTTCTTTTCTTTTTTTCTTTTCAGCACTAGGGATGGAACCCTGGTCATCTCCCTGCCAGACAAGTAAGTGCTCTGCCTCCAGCTTCCTGTTCTTTGAACACTCCACCCAGGGGAGGTATTCTAGGGACTCCTGATGGAGGAAGCCCAACTGCCAGCAAGCCAAAGCTGTGTCCATGGTCATTGTCACACACAGTGAACCTCAGCAAAGTGCCTGTCAACCCCAGAGCCTCAGAGGAGACCCAGCTGGAGACAGCAAATGCCACTCTGCCTCTCCTCCTCAGCTGCTGGGCTGAGGGTAGGTTATGGATGCACCCTTGCCCCAAGGAGAAGTCACCAAGACCACAGGCCACAGCTTAGTGCTCTCCGTTCCAGACCATCCCCCTTAGATATCTCTCTGGACATTCATAGTTGGTATGTCTGTCCCCTTCCTAAACCTACTGCCCCAGCTCCATATTTTTACCATAGTTCAATAGTATCCCTGCCTCTGAAGCTGAGAAAAGCCAACCATCGTAGAGCCATCAACAAACGCAATAGAAATTAGAGACAGAAGGAGAGAGGGGCAAATGCATAATTTATGGCATGGTGGTGTGTGAGTGACAGGCAGCAGCGGGAGGCCTCAGCACCTTATCGATCCCTTCAAAAACCCGAGAAAGGGCCGTGCTGGGGGCCAGGGCAGGCTTGGAAGGGGCAGGTGGGAGCAAGGCCATTAAGGGCATAGTGCTACCAGGCCAGCTGCCCTGGTGGGTGGGGGGCTTGGGCAGGTGGGGCAAAGACGCATGCCTCCGATCGATGACATGATGTCAAAACATAAAATGCATGCTTTGGCTCTTAAGCCAAATGTGCGTAAGATTTTTAAAAGCATTGATTCAGGATGGATCAATGGAAATCCTGGCATATTTTCCCCCTGTGCAAAAAGGGAGTTGATCACACTTTTCAGCAAAGCGCCCTGCAGGGGTGGCAAGGATAAGTGTTCTGAGGGGGTACATTCCCCTCCTCCTGGAGAGAAGGGCCAGGAGCCTGCCTCCTGCCTTGCTGTCATCTAGGTGGAGGCCACCAGCTAAGGGTTGAGGCTTCCTGGCCCACTCATGTAGACAGTCACATACAATGCCTCCAGGGTTCACTTGTGGGCATCCAAGGACAATGACTCTGTCCAATTCTTAAGCAAGTCCTGATAGCTCTACCTGCAAAGTATATTCAGGATGCCATAGTCTCCACTCCCATTTTACTATTTCCATTGCCTCTAGTTGGACTCATTCTCCCTGGCCTGTTGCCTCAGCATCCTCCAGAGATCCTGACCTGGTCTCTATATCCATGGCTTTATAACTGGAGGTACCACACTGACCCACTGGGAGTTCCCATCTCACTCTGAGTAAATTGTCCTGCCTCGCCTGCCTACACATCCTCTGCTTCCTCCCCTACTCTTTCCAGTTGCTCACAGGATGTCCCTCGCATAATGCTGGCTCCAAATGTCCAGCCTAGTGACCAATGTCCCTGTACACTCCTTAGCCCTAGGGCATTCTTTGCTTCCCATTCTTACAGTTGTTTAGAGTGTTGTGTGTTGTCTTTTACCATCTGCAGTTTTTCTATCCTAACAGGGCAGAGAATCATTTACTTTGTTTATCGACATGTTTACAGAAATTAGAATAGGGACTAAGGAGATAATTCAGTTGGTAAAGTGTTTATCTTACAAAAAACAAAGACTTGAGTTCAATCCTCAGAACCCACATTAAAAAAAAAAAAAGTCAGGCTTGGTAGTTTATGCCTGTAATCTCAGCTGGGAAGGAAGTGATTGGTAGATCCCTAGGGCTTACTGGTCAACCAGGCTAGAGTACTTGGCAATTTGCAAGTCAATGACAGTTTCTGCCTCAAAAAAAAAAAAAAAAGAAAAAAAGAAAAAAGAAAAAAGAAAAAAAAAAAGTGGATTGTTTCCTGAGGAACAGTATGGGCTGTTTTCTGTCCTTCACATAGACACACACACACACACACACACCACACACACACACACACACACACACACGGGGGAGGGGTATAATAGAGCTTGGTGTACAACAGGTTTTTTTTTGTTTTTTTGGTTTTTTTTTTGAGGGCAGAAGAAACAGGAGAGAAGGAAAGTGAGAGGGCTTGAGGAAGGAAGCCACATCCAATTAGGGTTAGCACCATATAGTGGAGGCCCCCATAGTGCCCTAGTTCTCAAATATAAGAAGGCAAGGAAAGGCTGCAGAGGAGGTTCTTCTTGGGGTTCTTCCTGGGAATGTTGAGGCAGGCTGCATAGTCAGGAAGCAAAGCTGTTCCTTCCTGGGGGAAAAGGCCACCCATCTTTCTACCTGGTTCTCATGGACCCAGGAACCTTCCCAGCCTTGTTCCTGCCCACAGCTAATAGACAGGGTGTGACCAGGCTGAATCCAGGACACACAGATGACACCAGTTTAAGGGTAACTCTACAGATTCCAGGACTCCTTGGCTCATCATCGTCACAACTGTTCTTTGTACTTTGTGTGAGCACAGGAAGGTTAGATTGTAGCATGTTGCTACTTCTCCCATGCTTCTCCTACAGCCACAAGCTGTTTTTCACTGTCCTTTGTCTTAAGCCTTTTCCTGGATGGGACGGTCATGCACTAAGATGGAGGCAGAGGTGGAAGGGGGCAGGGAAGAGGGAGAATGAACAAACACACAGGCATGGGCTGAGAGGTTGCCCTACCCAGCAGGCCTGTAACTGAGCCTGGTCCTGCTTCCCTCCCTGACCCTTCGCTGGCCCCATCCTAGGAAGCAAAGGGCCTAGAATCATCTTATAAAAGAAAATTATTGAATTATTTCCCCAAATCATTTTTTCAAGAAGCCAGTCTTGTTCCATTTGTTATTCATAGAAAAACTCGGTCACCAGCTGGGCAGGGGAGGCACACTGTAGATTCCAGAACTGGGGGAGGGGAAGGGTGCGCTCAGAGTTCTGCCCTCCTCTCCAATATTTTTTTTCTTTCCCAATTGCTTCAACATGTCTCTCTTTCCTTGTCTCTGTTAAGCTTATCGAGTCTCTCCCCTCCCCTTCTCTTAGGCTTCTTCCCTGTTTTAACTGCATCTCTCTCTCTCTCTCTCTCTCTCTCTCTCTCTCTCTCTCTCCTTCTGATTGGCCCTAGCCTGGCTCCCAAAGCTGACCCCTTATGCTTCCAGTGGAATCAGCACTTCCCACAGCAAGGTACCCACCTTCTACATGAAATTGGGAACTCTGGAGTACACTAATGCGACCTCCTCCCACACAGCTCCAGCCCAGGGTAGAGGGTGTGGCTGGGAGGAAGGGGGAGCAGGGAAGTAGCATCTTGTTGCAAGTTCTCAGTGTCCCAGCATCACCAGCCAACACTCAGCTTTCTGTGCCGTCCAGGATCCCTGAGGCCCATGTGTCTCCAGATACCCTCCCCTACACTAGTCTATTGCACCTTGTTCCCTTGCTTGGTGCTCCTCAGGTCTAGAGACCAGGAGGCAGCAGAGAGGGTGCAAAGCCCAAGGACCTTGGAGTCAGACTATTCCATTTACCAACTATCCTGTCTTCATCTAAATAACCTTCCTGGCCCAGGCTTCCTCATCTGCAACTGGAGAACAGTACCACTTCCTCCATGTATTTACATACATGTTAACACAAAGCCCCGAGGACAGACAGTTCAAGATGAATTTGTCTGTCCTTTCCCATCTCCACTCTTGGGCTATACCGGGCACCATCTTTAGCAGAGCAAGCCTGGGAGGCAGTAGACATAGGACTCATAAGGATCATTTTGGGTCTTCAGGAGGGAGAAGGGGAGGGCGGGGTCACAGGGGAAGGACCCACAGAAAGAAGGGCAGAAAGAGAAGCAGGGCTCAGACATGAAGCAGATGCACATGGGGTACCAGTCTACACTTGCTTGCCATCTTTGTGGGGTTCTCTGGGTCTGCTTCTTCTGTTTCCCGGAGGACCTTTGAAAACACCATGCCTATGGCCTTCCTTGTTCAGCTTCTGGCTTTCTGTAGTCAATGTGGGTCATGCATGTGTCTGTTAGAGGTTCGGATAACAAGACGGGGCCCCCCAGGACCACTGACTACACAGATAGCAGCTGTACATGTAGGCAAAAAGATGGCCAGCCACCAGCTGGTTTGCTTTTGGGTCCATCCCTCTCCAGTTTCTGGCCTTCCTGTGCGTGGTAAAGATGAACTACACTTCCCACAATCCTTTACCAACTGATTGTCAGCAGGGTCCAGCCAATGGGAGGTCTTGGTGAGAAGTTGTGGGCAGGAAGACAAGAGAAGCCAGTATTTTCCTTGCTCTGGTAATTGACAGTGGTAAGTCTAGCAGAATTTGTGTCTGCCCTGACCCACCTGTCAGTCCCAGGTCTGGCAGGTCCCAATGTACCTGCCTCTACCTGCAGCGTCTATCACAGCTAAGCACTGACCCCACTTCCTCCCTGGGCCCTGCAGTCCCTGGCCTGCCTCTTGAGAACGTTTGTTCAGGTCCCTCAGCTGAGCTGAGGATCTCTTTCCTGGTTCTGGAGGCAAGGCTGACCTGCCCAGGGTTCACCACAGGGACCCAGCAGGAGCAGGTACTTGAACTCAGCATCACCCAGTCTTCTCATGGTTCAAGCAGTGCAAGGGATCTGGATTTTCACAGCCTATATGATTTTGCATGTTAGCAATGGATTCAAATTTTAATATGGCATTCAGAGAGTGGGTGAGCACCATGTCCCTTGTCTACAAATCTGTGTCAGGTTTTGACCCTGCTGCAAATGGTTCCCTTCTCCTGCTCTTTCCTAAACTACACCCAAAGGAAGGGATTAGGGTGGGGCTGACCAATGGCTTCTCTGGATTAGGATCTTTCTTTGGGAAAGTTAACTAAGGGAGCTCACTCCACCTGATGATAGATGGCCAAACTAGTGTTTTTTTTTCCCACTCCCCCAACTGCTGTGTCTTCTAATTATTTAGTATTTTATTTTAAAATCTGTTTGACAGCCAGGACTATGACCCAGCTCTCTAGCCTGGGACACATCTTTTCTGGTTCAAGAACTTGTGCTTATTTCAGTGAAAGGTTAGAGGCTTGGCCTCCATTTGGAGAATAATTTCAGGTTTGGCAGTCTGTGTTTTAGGAATTGCTATTTCATGACATCTGTCTATCCAGTAAGCTTTTAGCAACCATGCAGGGTGGCTGGTTCTGGACAGAGCCATCAGTGAAACTCGGAAAAAAGAAAAAAAACAAAAAAACGGTGCTATTCCTGTGACAGAAGTATATAAATACATGTCAGACGATGTTAGGTGTCTGTAGGTGCTATAGGAAAAGTAGATGTGTAGGGTAAAGGGCAAGGAGATACTCTTCATAGACTAGTCAGTGAAAGCCCGTGTGAGAATGACATCTAAATTTGCACTTGAAAGTAGTTGTGAAGGAAGAATGTTCCAGAATGTTCTAGATTGAAGGTTAGCAAGTACCTGGAGAGAGGAGGAGGCACAAAGAGGAGGTCAGAGTGCGTGGAACCCAGGCACAGAGAGTGACAGGGGACAGAGCTGGGTGTGCAGCAGAGGCTGGGTCTTCCAAAGCTTTGTGAAAAAGACATGGAAAGGTTTGGTTCTGAGGGCATGGGAAGCTATTTCTGACCAAGCCGTATTCCTTGCTTGTCACTCAGCTGTGGCCATTGCTAAGATGAAGTCCTCACAGAGACCAGAAGCAGGTAACCTAGCCAGCTCTGCTTTTGCACTACAACAGTATCAAATTTTCGGGCAGTTTCTGCCCCAGCCATTGTCTTCTGGAGGCCCTGGGCTGGTTTGGACCTGTCTAAGACAGAGGAGTGTGCAGTGCTCACAGGGCTCAGGACATTCCACTCTACCTGAGAGAAGCTCTGACTTCTGCCCTTCCCAGGTTCTAAGCTCCAGGGCTAGAGGTGGGGAGAAGAGTTTGGTGGCAAGTGGTTCCTAGACAGAGGTCAGCTATGCTGAGTTTATCCTCTATGGCTAACTTGGTAGACAAGTTGCTTACCTTCCCTGGAGTCTTTCCACCTGTCAAAGGGACATAAGCACAGCTTTCTCCTATGGCTGAGAACATTCAGCTGGATAATGTGTAGAAGGACTTGTACCTGGAGGTCCATGAAGAACATGTAGCTGTTTTCCTATCTCTATCAAGGGAAAGACTGTCTGGAATGCAGGTTCTGAGAGGGAGAGGTCAGAATGGTTTCAGCTTGGTGCTTGATTACAGCATTGCTGTAAGATGTATCCTTCTTTGTCCTGGACTTCCAGGGTAGGTTTAGGCTCTCACCCAGGCTTCCACTGTTACAGTAGGGAACTATGATCACTCCATTGGAGGCACTGAGTTTGTCTTAAGTTTCGGAAAGATTTCTTAGCCCCTGAAACTTAGGTTTAGGAAGAGGATAATCTATGGGCTATTGCCCAGGATGACATCTTTCGCATCTAGGTAGACAAGTAAGGCCTTTGGCACCAAGTTAGAAGAAAGTGGTCAAGAGCAACTGATGGCTGTTGTTGCTTAGAAGATAGTTTCAGCCAAACTAATGTGGTGTGCATCCACGTGCAGACCAACTGCCAGGAAACAGTGTGTTCCCAGCACAGCATAAGATTACTTCTAGACCCCCATTTGATAAAGGGCTCTTCATTTCACAAGACAAAGAGACTGGATTGGTGAGGTCAGCCAAATGCTTAGGGTCATAGAACAAATGAGTGTCTGACTTCTACTCTTTCCCCATTCCAGCTTTGTCACTGCTTCCTTCTTGCCAAAGCCACCCACGCTCACCTCTCATGCAGAAGCCTCTGCAAGGACCCTGGCTGCCATCCACTCCTGTTTTCTCCACTTCACTTTCCAACAGACAAGTCAGTGGGGGCCTTAAAAATAGATGGAACTTTAAATCCTGTGTGTGCAGCAGCATCCTGGATGCTAGAGATACCACATCATATGCTGGCTGCTGGCTACTCTGACTGCCTGCTACTAGAAGACTGAAATTACAAATGCCTGTTTGCAGTGTGACTCAATGATAAAACCTGGGCTTAGTATGTGCAAGGTCCCAGGTTCAATTCCCTGTACCCTCTATCCTACGAAAATGATAATTGCCCCCCCCAACTCAGTGTAATGGGGTCAAGGAGAGAAAGAGTGTGTTCTGCCTTAAGAATAGGCAATAAATTGTCCTCTGTCTATAGAGAGTACAAAACTGGTATGAAAACTCATGTTATCACAGTGGCAGCAACATCAATAAAAAAACAGGCGTTTCTACTTGGCCTGCAACTGTATATCCATGTAGTTGAACATTCACCCTTGGGCACTTTGGAGCCTGAAAGGGGTGTTATTAATAGCCACACCTAGACTGATGTGTTGATATACTTAAAATCACAACACTCAAAGGGCTAAGGCAGGAGGATAGAAAATTCTAGGCCATTGGAGGTGTATAACAAGACTTTGTCTCCTGAGAAAAAAACAAACAACCCCAAAACCTTAAACAACCAAAGAATCAAAATGAAAATTGGAATTAAGAAAAGATGAAAAAAGAATCCCATTTGGATACCAAGTGTGAACAGAGGAGGCACTTAAGTCCCTACCTGACCTGACTGCAAAGTACGTCAGGATCCAACCCTGCTTACCTGTCTGGATAAGTTAATTTCTTGGTAGAGTCTACTTCCTTTAATCCAAAATCCCTAGGCTTAGCTCCATAAATGATCCAAGTTTCTTCTTACTTTGGGGTTCTTCCTATAAACCGATAGGTGACACTTGTCTAGCGACAGGGACAAGGTGCTCCAGCCAGAGAGAGGGTCCACTTTCTAGAGTCCATGGTCCTTTATTTTGCTCTCACTCCAGGTCTACAGACTATAGGGATCATTTGGAATCTCAGCTGAAATGTCACATCATTATAGAAACAGATCTTCCTTACTGTCATGTCTGGAGTAGGTCTCTCCTCCATCATTCTTTCTCTCCCATCTCTTGTGAACATGTGGATTATCTAGTTAATGGAATGCTTAGTATTTTGTGATCCTCTCTCCCAGCAGGCTGTAAGTTCCCTGAAGTTGGAGGCTATGTTTTTTCATAGTGGACCCCCCCCCAGTACCTAACACAGTGCCTGGAATATAGCAAACACCCACTAATCCACTACATACTAGTTGAGTGCATGGGTCTATGGGTGGCTGTATGGGTAGATGGGTAAGTAGGTGGATGAACGTGTGAATGGGTAGATGGGTGGATGGTTGGGTACATGAGTAGATGGATGAGTGAATGGTGGAGCTGTGACCCAAACTTAGGCTGAGTCAAATGCCCATGCTTTCCACCACTCTCTGATTCTGAGACTGCCAGCCTGGTAGTTAAGTAGATCATATCTGGGCAACAGCCTCCTAAACTGAAGAGGTCAAGACCAAGATTGGTGTGAAAAGATCAGAAGAATCAAGAGACCCAGATGTGCAAAATCCCTTCAGTGAAGCAGATGTGACCCCAGGAATCTATGTGAGGCGGAACCATCACATTTGATTGCTGGTTTCCATTAAAGGAATTGTAGCAGGTGCAAAAGTGGTAGATTATCCCAAGAATTAAGATATGAAAAGGATGTTAGATCACTAAACTCCAATTAGGGAAATTAAACTGTGCACACTCCCCTCCTGATGGAATATTGGGAGCTTGCATTAGCTCTGGGCTCCGATTCTAATAAAATTAGAGAATAACACTTTAATTGAATTGTGCTTAAAAGGATCATGCTGACAAATGTGATTGTATCTGGCTGGGATGCACACTTTCTCTAGCAATCATTAAATCCAGTGAGATGTCAGCCCTGGGATCCTGACGGGTTTCTGAAACAATCTGTGAACTGTGCTGATTCTTGGAATCTAATCAATTTATAACCGCCTCATTAGGGCTGGCTGCTAACGGGTTCTTAAAAATCAAAGCGAATGACTACACATCATGGCTGACTAGCTAGTCATATTGATGCAACATGGCTGGATTGTGTTGCAGCAATTCATTTCCTCTTTAAGAAGCCACTGTCACCTATAATTTAGGGATTGACATTTATCAGCCTGATGCAGACAGCTCCAATGTCCAGGATTTTCTTGAGAACAGAGCCAAAGAGTACAGTCAACCCACCTGATGGGGGTAAGTAAAACCAGCCCCTTGACTCCTCCCAACATTCTACCCATTCCCCAAGCTCATTGCTTGGTATTGAGTTCAAGACTGGGTCGAACAAATAAGGAAATGGAGGCTCAGAGACCAGTAGCATGTTTCCTAAGATCACACAGCAAATGAGTGACAAGGTCAGAATTTAACCCCCCTTTTTTTTTAAAAAAAAACTTTTTCAAAATTTTATCAGTGCATATTAATTATATATAGTGATGGCTTTCATTATGAAGTTTTCATGAATTTAATGTATTCTGATAATATTAACTCCCATTTTCCTTTCTTCTCCTCCCCACTCTTGCAGATCAACTTGATATTTTTTGATATTACATTGTTTCCTTCCTTCCTTCCTTCCTTCCTTCCTTCCTTCCTTCCTTCCTTCTTTCTTTCCATATTTCCTTCCTGCTTTTGTTCCTCCCTCCCTCTGTCCCTCCCTCTCTCTGTCCCTCCCTCCCTCCCTCCCTTCCTCTTCTCCTCCCATCTTCCCTTCCTACATCTCAAACATGGTCCAACATGTTGCCTTGAATTCAATATGTAGCCCAGACTAGCGTTGAAATCTTGGTGTCCCCCTGCCTCAGCCTACTGGGTGCTGGGATTACAAGGGGTGCATAAATGTTCTAGTAATAATTGTAATAAAAATTCAGAACAGTGATTATTCTTTCATTCACAGTTGAATTGGTTTATTTATGTGTGGGGAATAGTGGTTCCCAGGTGTGCCTAGATGTGTTTGTGTGTTTCTACATGTGTGGAAGTCAGAAAGCAACTTTAGGTGTCATTCCTCAGGAGCTTTCTATTTTGCCTATGTATGTATGTAGGTAGGTAGGTAGGTATGTATCTATTTTAAGACAGGATCTCTCTACATAACCCTGGCTGGAACTCACTGTGTAGACCAGGATGGCCCCCAACTCATAGAGATCTGTCTACTTCTGCCTCCCAAGTGATGGGATTAAAAATGTGCTCCACTATGCCCGGTGTACCTACTTTACTTTTTGAAATAAAGTCTCTCACTGGACTTGGGGCTTAATGAGTAGACTTGACTGGCTGACCTGTGAGTCCCAAGGACTCACCTTATCTCTGCTCCTCCAGCCCTACACCCACATGTAGTCTTGAGGTGCTGGGGATCGAACACTGATCCTTATGCTTGCAAGGCAAGCACTTTGGACTGGTTATCTCTGGAGTCTCTAATTGGATTTCATGATAATAGTAGTACTAATAATGAACATCGACACCATCATCATTACTATAATACTGACAGCCTATACTAAAATAAAGCATATTAGAGATGTAATTCATTTAATCCCCTCAGCATCCCTAGAGGTTGTTCTGTGATTATTGTGGTAGGCCTTCTCAGTTCACCACACATTTCTGAGCTTTAGAGGTACCTTCTCTTCCTGTTACATGCAATTGGATGAGCTAGTTGTCTAGCTTCCCAATGGGTGGTAAGCAGAAGGGACATGTGTTGTTTACAAGCCACTTAATGGCTGGTTGTACCTTTGTTAGGCAATCTCTCAGTCAGCAGCTTCCAGTCAGTGTCCATTCTGCAGACATCTCATCTCTGCAGAATTCATACTGGACAGTGAGTGCCAAGAACAGACCCACAGTGACTAACACACTCAGGCACTGTCAGTCAGTTTCTATTCTACAGACATCTCACCTCTGCAGAACTCAGAGTGGACAGGGAGTGCCAAGAACTGCCTTGGATCAGGTATTTGTCCTTCCATTCAACTACTAGCTGGACAGAGATATTATTAATAAGCTTTGGGTTTTTTAATAAGTTCTGGGTTTTTTTGTCTGTTTGTTTTTTGACACAGTACTTTGCTATGTAGTCCATGCTGGTTTCAAACTCATCCTCCTGCCTCAGCTTCAAGAGCTCTGGGATTAGAGGTGTGGGACTATGCCTGGATTAACAGGCCCCTTATAAAGCTTCAGAACTACTGGCTTCTTGAAGGAGCCCTTCTGATGTCCCGAAGAATTTACATTATCAAGCATGAGATCTCAGTGTTACCAAGAGAGAGGGCTCTCTGATGCCAGGGCCAGTGAGGAGCAGACAGGAGCTACATTTAATAAAGACCCCATTGCCTGTAGGGAAGGAAGACTGAAGTGTGGGCTATTTACAATTCCAAGAGCAGTTTTAAGGGTGGGGCTGCAAGGAGAGAACCAGAGCCCCCAGATCTAGAAGGGAGTGTAGGAGAAAGTTTGCAAAGATTGTATATACTTCAGGAAATGTATACCCTTCACCAGAGGTATCTGAGTCAGTTAAGGCAGTAATTGCAGCCCTTCCCGGCAAAGAGAGGGCAGGATGGCAGGGCCTGCTATTACCAGGTTCTCTGAGGCACAACAGCTTGTTTACTGGAGGGATAGGAACTTCACGGTGATTGTCTGGTGGCTCCAGGGCAAAGCCTGCTCCCCTGTTCCCTGCTTGCTTTTGGGTCTGAGTCTGGCTATCCGTCTTAGAGCTCAATCAAGGGGTACCTTTGCTAGGATGCTCAGGGGAACAGCTGCTAGGGGGCAAAAAGCTGCCTGGGTGTCTGCCACTGGCCCTAGAGAAAGACGTGCTGCCCTAGCTGTTCTGCCCTGTTGGAAGGCACGTGGAGCCAAGCACAAGGAATCCAAGTGTTGGTGTGAGTGCCATAGTTCACCTGCTGTGGAATCCTAGGCAGCTCCTTCTCCTAATGCATACCTAGGCTTCTCATTTGGAAACATAAGGGTCCTACCAGGTTGGCTTTTCTCTAATTTAGTGTATTTTTTCCTACTCTTCAAAAGGGTGTACAGTGTGTGTTTCTTGTGGATGACATAATTTGACACAAATGAGTTTTAACATTACTTGAATGTTTATATGTATGTTGAAAACACAGCAAACAACGGTAGTTTATTTAAAGAGAAAACATTTAAAGAATGCAAGGTGACTTATTGGCTGTCACGGAGCAAAAGAGAATAACGATGGAGTACCTATAATGTCAAATAAAGTGATAGCACTTGCTGCTGGCTTGGCCACCCATTCTTTGCTGACTCCTGCTCCTGGGTGACACCCCAGATGCTGCACCTGATTCAAGTGACGAAGAAACAAAGCTGCCAACCTCCCCTGAAAGGCTTCTCTATAATAGTCTCCTTTTTTTCTCTAATCATCTGCTTCTGATCAGTCTTGTTAGACTGTATCTTACTGGAAGACTCAGTCATGTGATTTTTTTTCTAGCTGCAAAAGAATCCTGACAAAAGCAAATGCTTGCCATTTCTACTTTCTCCATAAGGAATTGGACCTTAATTCATAAGATAAGTATAACATAGCCACAGCAAGACAGTTCAATATTGGGTGACAAACAATTGCCAAGTGTCTCCTAAAATGACAAGTACAAAATAGGCTAGAGACTTATACATCAAATTTAGATATAGTAACACACACATTTAAAAATATTTGAGGGGGCCGGGGTGGCGTTGTTGTCCGTGGGGCCGGCCGGTGGCAGCACAATGCTGCAGCTCATGGTGGACTCAGGGGGCACAATCCTCACGACACTGCTGGCGACTGGCGAGGATGCGACTGCAGGCGGTCTGGGGGCTTGCACACCGGGCCGCCAAACACTGTGGCCGCTGAGCGTCCACGACCTTACATGCCAATGTCAAGGAGTACTTCATGCTTCCCCAGCACCATTGAGCAGGTGGTGGAGGAGATCCGCGCCATTGTACGACCAGTGGAGGATGGCGATATCCAGGGGGTGTGGCTGCTGCCCGAGATGGACCACTGGAACGAGGAGAAGGAGCAGCTGGTGCTCATCACTGACCAGTCACTGTTCATCTGCAAATATGACTTCATCAGCCTTTGGTGCCAGCAGGTGGTCAGGGTGGCACTCAGCGCCGTGGACACCATCTCCGGAGAATTCCAGTTTCCTCCGAAGTCGCTCAACAAGCGAGAAGGCTTAGGGGTTTACATTCAGTAGGACAAGCAGAGCCGCCCTTCTTTCATCAACATATCCACAAACATGCTCTAGACCACCTTCATAGAACACCCGATGGCCAGCATGGATGAGAAGACCTTGTGCCATTTGGAAAGCTTCCAGGCTCTCCTGATCCAAGCTGTCAAGAAACCCCAGAAGGTAAACCCTCTGCCAGGACAGGTGAACAGCGTGCTGGCGCTGGAGCGCCCACTCCTCTTCGAGACCTACGTGGGGCTGATGTCCTTCATTAACAATGAAGCCAAGCTGGGTTCCTCCATGACCAGGGGCAAGATAGGCTTCTAGACAGCTGTATCCTCAAGAAAACCAAGGTGGTGGGGACTCTTTGTGCAACCTCATGCTACCCACTGTGGCTGGAGAGAACACGTGCTTTGTCCCTTTAGGTGTCTGATTAGAATAGTCAAGTGAATTATATATATTTAGATGGATATTGGACACCTTGGCAACATGATATATGAAGGCAGAAATATTGGCTGTCCCCATGCCACTGTGATCCTTCTGTAACTCCACATAAATGTTTTCTTCACTGTTCCTACTTGTTCTTCCTGCTTTGCCCCTCCAGCAGTATAGCTGCCACTTCTGCTGTTTGGACTGTTGAATACAGGGTGGAGCAAAGTGATTCCAGAGCCTGCACTGCTCCTGCATATGCCTTAACATCCCCTGTCAAGTTTTGTATTTTGAAATTCAGTCCATTTTTTAAAAGCTAACTACAATAGCAGTCAGCAGACTAGTTACCAAGAAAGGCAGCCTGCCTGGCAGCTCCTAGTGAAACTGCCCTTCTGTGAATATGTTTGACCTAAAGTCACACTTTGTAAAATTAATCCAGGTTGTGTTAATACAGCAATTTTCCTAGGCCCAGAAAAGGTCAGTTTCATGACATAATCCAGTTCCTTCTAGAAGTTGTGGCAGTGGGTTTACATCATCCTGTCTCTGTTTAAAAGGGACTGAGTGGTTTGGTTTAAGAAGTGCATGTTTATTAATAAACAGACCAGCCTGCAGCCACACACACCCCAGGCGCCATTAGCCCTGCTGAGCTTTGCTGAGCTTCAACACACCAACCACACACAGCTTGCCTCTATGGCTCTAGCACTTGTTGGTACAACTATAGATGCTGGCTTGTCACTTGATACCTCTGCTGCAGCTTTAAGTTAACCAGCATGGATGTGACTAGAATGTCAGGGCCTGTTCAAGCGGAAAGGTGACCTAGGATGCACCTGGTCTTTACCCTGTGCTTTTGGTTTTACAGTAAAAGACGTTGGAAAAAATATATAAATAATATATATATATATATATATATATATATATATATATATATATATTTGAGAGGAATGACTTTGAGGAAGTGTATTTCTTTTTGACTGTTAAACCAATAGTCTTAAGTTCTGGGGAAATTCCACAGCACATTTTCCTATTTGTCCTCATTTGCCACCTTTCATAGTGACATGTGTTGTTTTTCCTCAGGGATTACACTTGCATGTCTTGATAGTAAGAACAAGTTAACATGATATAGCATTGTACAGTATGGTGGTTTCTGTTCCAGGAATAGTACTTAGTGTGAGAGCCATCACTTCCAAAACACTCCATGAATAAGGATTTCTCTGTGCTCCTCTTCAAGATGAATCCCACCTGACCTGTCAATATTTCCAATGCTCCTCTCCCTCCAGGATTCCATGTGTTTCCTTGTCTCCTTAAAGTCAGGCACACTATTGTAACGTGCCTGAGCAAGTTCTGGGTAGAAGCATTTCAGAGTTCATCCTGATTATCCATGTCCTTTCGCTCTGTTATGATGACTAATGAAAGTGCAGGTGGCCTCTCTCAGCCTCTGGGAATGAGATGCCATGGAACAGAACTCCTGTCAGTGTGCAAT